GACAGGATGGGGGGCACAGCTGCAAGTTGCCCCCTTCCCCCGCCGTATATGCCCGCTGCAGGAGGTGCATGCTGATCGTCACAGCCCCTTACCAAAGAGCAGCCGTGCCCCTCTGAAAGTGCCAGGGGAACCCGACGGGCACCGTGCACGTCTCTGCACTGGCGTTCGCCCAGGCGCCTGGCACGGACACCCCGACTGCTAAGGGCGCCTTGGGCCGGGGGATTTAGCACCTGCTGCTACTCAGGGCTATGCCCGCTGCAGGAGGTGCATGCTGATCGTCACAGCCCCTTACCAAAGAGCAGCCGTGCCCCTCTGAAAGTGCCAGGGGAACCCGACGGGCACCGTGCACGTCTCTGCACTGGCGTTCGCCCAGGCGCCTGGCACGGACACCCCGACTGCTAAGGGCGCCTTGGGCCGGGGGATTTAGCACCTGCTGCTACTCAGGGCGCTGGAGCAGCCCCACATCTTGCAGTGGGCAGCGCCAGGCTTGTTGGGAGGGAGCAGGCCATGCTCCCAGCCCCCTCTGTGGCTGGGGTAACCCTGGCAGCCTGCAGGGCCCGCTGATTAGCTCTCAAATTAGCAACTGGTGTCAGGTGATGGGGTAAAAATAACCCGGTGCCGGGCTGCAGGGAGCAGCTTGCCAGGTCTCTGCGTGTACCCACTGCAATTTGGATCATCAGGGATCGCTCCACTCCCTCGGAGCCCAGGAGGGTCTGGGTGGCCCAAAGCCTCAGAGGCCTCCCTTCGGGCTAGTCCTGCCCCAGCAGCTCACTGCAGCAGTCCTATGCGGAGCACGGGCCTGGCCACATGGCACTGAGAGGCCCACGGTGCAGCCGTGGCCCCCAGCTGGAAGGGCAGGACAGCAGCGTACAGTGCTGGGCTAGCCCCCAATCGACGGCCTGTGGGAGCAGGGCCGGGAGGGTTGTCCCTGGGCAGCCTGGGGCTGATTCATGCTGCCCACTGGCGAGCGTCAGGGACACGCACAGTTGCCGCAGCGGCTGGTCAAATCCGTCCAGCAGCCGGCTGGGCTTCGGCGACTCTCGGCCGGACTCCAGAGCAAATGATCATTAGCACACAGAGCTCGGTCTGTTTCGCTGGGCCCGGCCGGTCCTGGAATGGGAGGACGTCGCTCTGCTCCTGTGCTCGGCACGGGGGTGCAGGTCAGAGGGATTTGTTCTCGGGGGTCCAGGTACACGTGAGACAGCCCCTCATTGGCAGAAGGGTCAGGAGGCAAACGTGTGTTTCTGGGGGTGGAGAAGGGGAAGGCCTGTTTTCTAGGAATTGTTCCTACATTGTGCTAGAGAAAGGCAGCTCATGCCAGTCACGTGCTGAGCGTGTCTGTCATCTTGCACTCAGTGGCTATGTCTACACTGGCGGGTTCTTGCGCAAGAACACGTCCACATGGCCATGTGCTTTTGTGCAAGAGCGCCCATGGCAGTGCGGACGCTCTCTTGCTCAAGGAAGCTCTGATGGCCGTTTTAGCCATCGAACTTTCTTGCACAAGAAACCCCTGTTACCCGTCCACACTGCCCTCTTGTGCAAAAGCTCCTGCACAACAGAGCTTCCACCTATTAGAAAAGAGCATAGCCCTTTGCGCATAAAGCCCTCTCTTCCGACACCCTACTGTAAATCTTCTTGCGCAAGCGCGGGCGGGCAGTGTGGACGCTCTGCGGGTTCTTGTGCAAGAACCCGCCAGTGTAGACATAGCCAGTGTGTGCTAATGCATGCACCCATACCTGCTGTGCGGGTCAGTGAGAATGCCTGTGCTTGCACTCGGCGAGTGTGAAAGGGTGGGTGTGTGACCCAGAGGCACAGCAAGCACTGGCAAGAGAGAGTGAAGTTTGCTGTACAGCCCGAGAGAGCCAGTTTTTAGCTCATGTGGTAGAGGCACATGGCGTTAGCCCCTAAGGTCGCAGGTTCAATCCCCCCTATGGAAGAATGGCTTTACAGGTACATTTAGGCGCATATGTAGGCTACGGGTGTGTTCAGTGCATGGATAGAGGTTGTGCTAGTAAGAACGTGTGTGCACATTTATGCTGTGTGCGGGCATGTTCAGATATACAGGCAGTCCCCGGGTTACATGGATCCGACTTACATCGGATCCCTACTTACAAATGGGGTGAGGCAACCCCACACTAGCTGCTTCCCCCCAGCAGACCAGGGAGACGCGAAGCTAGCACCCCGCCCCCACAGCAGACCAGGGAGACGCGAAGCTAGCGCGCCGCCCCCACAGCAGACCAGGGAGACGCGATAAAGGACTGAGGGAAGTGAGGTGTGGGAGAATAAAACTGAGCTCTGGAGAAATGTTTGGCTAGAGTTTCCCCTACAATATGTACCAGTTCCGACTTACATACAAATTCAACTTAAGAACAAACCTACAGTCCCTATCTTGTACGTAACCCGGGGACTGCCTGTAGATGCGTGCACACGTGGGGGATTTGTGCGCCGTGAAAGTGTGTGTGTGTCCTTAGCGAGTGTGGGCTTAGTGCGGGTGTGTGCTCAGCAACTGTGTGCCCTGGGTGTGCCTCAGTCACACAACAGACAGTTCAAAGCCTGGAGGGTTGATTTTCTGGGGGACCCTCTAGGGTTTTGCCTCTCTTGGTTCCATTCTCTCTCTCGGGCTGACTGGTCCCAAGCTGCAAGGGCTGGAGACAACTCCCTTGAGCCCTGTTCTAGCTGCTGTCTGGGCCGGCAGCAGGAGAGTGAAGCCAGGTTCTGCCTCCTTGCTTCTCTCTTCCTCCATGGGTGAGTGCCGGCTTCCCCTGCCCCAGCCAGGAATCTGCAGCCAGGCCCTGAAATGCCACGGTTTTTCTGCTGCGGAGACAGCACTGTGTGTGTTGGGAGGGGCTTTATGAGCACCTGGGCGGAGACTCGCTAGACTCAGAGGCTACGTCTACACTGGCATGATTTTCCGAAAACGCTTTTAACGGAAAAGTTTTTCGTTAAAAGCATTTTCGGAAAAGCGTCCGTGGCCAATCTAGACGCGCTTTTCCGCAAAAAATCCCTGATCGCCATTTTCGCGATTGCGGCTTTTTTGCGGAAAACAAATCTCTGCTGTCTACACTGGCCCTTTTGCGCAAAAGTCTTTCGGAAAAAGACTTTTGCCCGAACGGGAGCCGCATAGTATTTCCAGAAAAGCACTGACAATTTTACGTGAGATTGTCAGTGCTTTTGCGGAAATTCAAGCGGCCAGTGTAGACAGCAGTTTTTCCAGAAATGCGGCCGATTTTCCGGAAAAACTTGCCAGGCTAGACACAGCCAGAGGGTATGTCTGCACTGCCACCCTAGTTCGAACTAGGGAGGCTAATGTAGTCATTCGAACTTGCAAATGAAGCCCGGGATTAAAATCTCCCAGGCTTTATTTGCATCTTCCCAGGCGCCGCCATTTTTAAATGCCCGGTAGTTCGAACTCCCTGCCCGCGGCTACACACGGCACGGGCTAGGTAGTTCGAATTAAAGCTCCTAATTCGAACGACCGTTACTCCTCCTGCAATGGAGTTTTGGAATTAGGAGCTTTAATTCGAACTTGTTCAAACTAGGGTGGCTAGTGTAGACACACCCAGACAGACTGAACTGCAAACAGCCTGCGTGGGCCACTCTGCAGCAGTCCCCAGTCTCCTGGCAGAGCGGCGCACAGGGTCAGCTGCATTCCCGGGTACCAGTGTACGAGGAACGGGAGTGGGGGAGCTGGCCCTGTCGCCTCCCCCCCGCGCTCAGGGGAGCACATTCCCCTGGGAGCACATTCCCATCCACGGGGCGGGGTGTCATTCCTTGGCCTCGCTGCCTCGCAGATGAAGCTGCTCCCCCTGCGTCAGAAGAAGGCCCACGTGATGGAGATTCAGCTGAACGGCGGGACGGTGGCCGACAAGGTGGACTGGGCCCACGAGAAGCTGGAGAAGCAGGTCTCCGTGCACACCATCTTCAGCCAGAACGAAATGATTGACGTCATTGGGGTGACCAAGGGGCGCGGGATGAAAGGTACGGGTGGAGGGTCATTGGCTTGGCATGGGTCCTTTGGAGAGGATGGGTAAAGGGCTGCTTATACATTGCATGGGCATTGTGCCATGGGGCCTCCATGATGCTCAGGCGAGAGGCAATTTTTGAGTGTAATGAGCACAGGACTGAGTGTCAGGAGACCTGAGTTATAATCCCACCGCTGATACCAATTCATTCTATGGCCCTGAGCCATTCACACGCCCGCTCCGTGCCTCAGTTTATCCATCTGTAGCACAGGGATAGTGACACTGGTAGCATATTTCGAGGGCTTCAAGGTCTGTGGATGAAAAAGCCATACAAGTACTGAGCATTTAATATTATTAGTAGTAGTAATTGTTTACTATTCTGTCATTATCAAGGCATGGCTTCTGGACACCCCCCCCTAATGAATAGTTAATGGTAATTAACATTTTAACACAGTGAGGAATCCATGCATCATTGTGAATAATTAACATTGATGCGTAGAGGTTTCACCTTGTGTGACATCTACAGGCCAGGAAACAGACTCTAGTTTATTTTGACTGTACTTAAAAAAAACAAAAACCAGTTTTTGGTGTTAATGAAATGCCTGTTCCCAGAGCAAGCTGGGTAGAGGCAATGACAGTGTAGGCAAACCCTCCCCCCCACACACTGCAAACCCCATGTCCTGGGGGTCCTCTTCTGGAAGATGAGGGGGGAGTTCATTTCCGGTTCCCGCATTTCATCCGCAACCTCACAGCTGTGATGACCAAAAATAGGGACCGTTGGTGCCAGTCGTGATGGCTGTCCTCGATGTCCAGGCTGATCAGCCGCCGGACTGAGAACCCCTCGCTCATTCCACCAGGGGCGCTGGATTGTTCCCCATCTGTCTGCTCTGCTTCTAGCAGATTTGGTTCCGCGTGCCTGGTTCAAAATCCCCCCTTGCTAGTTATGGGCTTAGTTCTGGTGGGAGCCCTCGGGGCGCCGGGCCGGCTGACGTGAGGAACCCAAGATAAGGACAAAAAGGCATTTTGGCGCTGGCAAAGCCAGTGTGTGCGGGAGACGCACTCCAGTGCAGTCAGGTGAATGCAAAGCGAGTCTGGGTTTGTCCCTGGGCCCCTGACTCCGAGAAGGGCTGTTTGCTTCCGTCCGACACACCGTCGTCTCGTCGCCTGAGATGCAGCGTGAGACAAACCCCACAGGCATGTGCCCTGATTTCTAGCTTGGAAGCAGCCCCCCCTCCTCCCACCTGGCTCCTCTGACAGTCGGCCTGTGCTGCGTCCCTAGGGGTGACCAGCCGCTGGCATGCCAAGAAGCTCCCGAGGAAAACCCACAAGGGCTTACGCAAAGTGGCCTGCATTGGAGCCTGGCACCCGGCCCGCGTGGGCTACTCCATTGCCCGGGCTGGCCAGAAGGGCTACCACCATCGCACGGAGCTTAACAAGAAGGTGAGGCACCACCGCGACACCGCCCAGGCCTGGCGCAGCTTCTTCCGAGCCCCCTTCCCTCCCCCGAGCAGCTCGCAGCCAGGCCTGTCGTTTCAGGGCAGGAGGGCCTGTAGGGCTTGGTTTGGTGTGATTTTATCATAGCGCCTAGAAGCCCGAGTCACCAACCAGCGCGAGGCACTGTGCAGACAGAGATGATGCATGCCTAGGCGCCAGCTCCGTGGGTGCTGTGGGGCTGGAGCACCCATAGGTGCCAAGATCCCCCCCTCCTTCCACACACCAGCAACCCTGCTGACCTACCTCTCCCCCGCCCTCCCAATGCTTCTGGAATACCACAAACAGCTGATTTGTGGTGTACAGGAAGCTCCAGGAGTGAGGGAGGAGCAGGGATGGGGCACGCTTGGAGAGGGTGGGATTGGGGCAGGGACAGGGCTTTGGGAGAAGGGGTGGGACGGAGATGGGGAGGGCCAAGCTGGGATGGAACATGGCGGGGGAGAGGCTTGGGAGAAGGGGTGGAGCAACGGCAGGCCTGGGGCAGAGTGGGAGGTCCAGGAACCCCCCGGCTGGAGGAGAAATCAGCACGGTGGTCTTTCTCCTGTGCCTAGGGGTGGGGACGTACTCTACTCACTGCCCGCTCGCATCTGAGATGAGCTCGTGAATTTTTCCCCAATCGGACATCTCTAGACCTTGTGCTCAGTTTGTGAAGCTTTGTTTGTAACTGTGGCTTAAAGCCGTTGACTCCATTTCGTCTGGGCCGCCTCCCAGATTTACCGTCTCGGCCGCGGGATCCATGTAGAAGACGGCAAAGTGGTGAAGAACAATGCCTCCACGAACTACGACGTCACCGAGAAGACGATCACGCCGCTGGTAAAAGGGCTAAGGAAACAGAAAGTGGTGGGGCTGGAACTGGGACTCTGTTCCTGATTCTGCCACTGACTAGAGACGTAGCCCTGGGCAAGTCACTTAAGGGGCCTGTTGGGGAAGAGCTGGTTTGGAACTATTTGTTCTGGCCACAGCAAATTGTGATTCCTTTCCTTTTTTTGTTTTGATTTTAGTAACCAAAAGCTGCAAACATCTGCTTTTCCACACCCAAAAAAACAAGACGTTTTCAGCTGGTGTTTAGTGCCCTCTGGGCTTTTGATTTTTCAGCAAAACCCCAGAAAAATCTCCTCAAAGTCGGAAATGTCAGTTTTGACAAAAAGTCAATTTCCCATTAAAAAAAAAAAGGCTTTGAACCAAAATTAGCAGCCTCTTCTACAATTTGCCCAAGTGGACAATGAGGCCAATAATATCAATAGATCTCGCGGGCAGGCTGCTGGGTGAAAGACCAGGGCAACGCGTATTGTTAGTTCATAATGGGGATTATTAGTAACAACGAAATAACCCCCCTGCTTTCCTAGAGAAAATGTCACTTGCTGATGCTTATCCGTTAGCCTCACCGCTGCCTTTGCCTGCAGGGTGGATTTCCTCGCTATGGTGCAGTTAACAACGATTTCATCATGCTGAAGGGCTGCGTCGTGGGCACGAAGAAACGCGTGCTCACTCTCAGAAAGGTAACTCCTCCTCCTCTGCCCCCCCCCCCCCCCCCAACAAAGTGCTGACTTTGCAGTGATTTGCAAGGGGGCCATTTCCCGGAGAGGTTGAATAGAGTTGCCAGGCCGTTCTCGCTGACACTGTATTTCCAGTTTCAGATCAGCCAATTGTCTCTACCTTAGGAACGGTTTTAGCTGGAAGCCGTCCTGACACACACTGCTACTGGAATTAGGAACTGGAGGTCTCTGTTCATGGGGCAGGGAAATGGAAACTTGGCCACAACACTGATCACGAATGAGGCAAAATGCTCTAAGGACCCGTGCTCTTTGTTTCAGTTCCAAGTGGGAACTGAGAGACAACGGCACTTAAAGTTGTGCTACTCTAGAGCCATGTCTACACTAAACGGAAGAGCTGAACTGCCGTGATCGATCTTCTGGAGTTCGATTTAGAGAGTCTAGTTAAGACATGCTAAATCAAACTCAGAGTTGTTGGCGGTCGGTACTGCTGCTTCTGTGAGGAATAAGGAAAGCTGGCAGGAGTGTTTACTTCCATCGGCCTCCTGCTGTGGAGATGGCAGGGGAACTTGAAACAAGGGCCGTCGACTCCAGCTACGCAATTAACATAGTTGGAGGTGCGTATCTCGATTCAACCTTGCCTTTTAGTGTAGGCCTGGCCTGGGTGTCTCTGGGAGGAAGCCTCTATTGCTGGAGGGATTAGCTAACGGACATGCGTGACATGGCTTAACTCTTCCCATCTCACAGCGTGCTTTCAGATTTCTGGTTAAATGTAAGGCTAATGTTTGGTGACTTTTCCTCTCCAGTCCCTGCTGGTCCACAGCAGTCGACGGGCCATGGAACCCATCGAACTGAAATTCATTGACACCACTTCCAAGTTTGGCCACGGCTGCTTCCAGACTGCCCAAGAGAAGAGAGCTTTCATGGTGAGTTAAGTCTCCGCTGGCTTTACAGTCTGAGGGCTGGGTTCTCAGCTGGTGCGAATTAACCTCGGTCCCTCAATTCCAAGGGAGCTACGCTGATTAACACTAGCTATGGACTGACCCAGAAAACAAGGGCCACCAAATGAACACACAGGACTGCCATGCACAAGAGGCAGTTCGGCAGCCAGAAACCGTACTAAAGAGGGAACAGGATGGTTGTGAAAGTCACACAAACCAGCCAAACTCAGCAAATAATGTACCATCTGGTCAACCAGTCCCCACTCACAATGGAATGCTTTCAGCAAGCTGCTAAATTGGCAGCTTCTTGTTGGCCATATGGTGCCTTTCATTCCCAATGGTACATTTCTTTGATTGGGTTGGATTGCCTTAAAGGTTTAATTTTTTTAAAGGTCAGGCTAGATTTGGCCTCATGGTTGGGATGTTGTGTGAATAAGCTGGTAAATACCCAAATCAGATACATTTTAAACATCCCAATGGAAGCATGTTTATAAACCAAAAATACCCCCAAACTCTCACACAGACAGATATTCCCTTTGCAGCCCAACTGCTACCACCTGGTGCTGTGGGATCAGCTGGAAAGTGCAATTGACTAGATACTGAGTGGATCGGATCTTCCCCCAGAGTGTATCAGCATGGCTCCATTGACTTCCACGCTGCACCGATTTAAATCGGGTTTGGAGCTGGCCGATAGACTCGTCTGTTTCATGTGTGTTTAACGTCTCTCCAGGTCAGAAGAGCTGATTTGGTAGCGTAATCACATTGATTATCGTCATTATAGCAGCATGACGTGACCTGGTAGATGAGGGTGGGTCAAGAGACTTCTCTATACAATCCCCTGCCATGTTGCACATGACAACTCCAGAGCTCAGTTTTGGAGCAGAAGGGGTTTCCGTGCGGCCTTCCAGCCAGACTCAGAATCTACAGCCCTACACACCAGCCTCCAGCCCTGCGGAGAGTGGCATAAAGGGGTTTCACAGTCAGCCCTTCTGACCTGAAGAGAAGTTAAACACGCGTGAAACAGACGAGTCTATCGGCCAGCTCCAAACCCGATTTAAATCGGCGCAGCGTGGAAATCAATGGAGCCATGCTGATACGCTCTGGGGGAGGATCGGAGCCACTCAGTATCTAGTCAATTTCACTTTCCAGCTACTAGACCACCTTGACGGGCTCAGTAGCAAACCATACCAGCCAGCTTTCCGGGCTGCCCAGCTAAGCAAACTGCTGGGTGAGGGCCTGGCAATTCATTGCCCACATTCCTGAAGGGTTAGGAGGGTTTCTAGAGACCACACTAGGCAGCTGCTGCCGTTCGGGGGAGAGCTGAGCGTTAGCAGCCAGGAGACAGAAATGAACACTCAGTGTCACAAGCCGGGCAGCAAAAAGGGGTCGCATCTGAATAGAAATCCCACAGCATCCCCCTCGCCTCCTGCCTCTCTAGGGAACCCGTGAAAAAGGCTTGTAATATGGATCTTGAACTCACCATCTTGTGGCAACGGGATCTCTTATTCCCACCATTTCACTTGTGTTTTAGGGCCCTCAGAAGAAACACCTGGTGAAGAAACCGGAATCCCAGGAAGATTTGTAGGGGATTGAAATACACATGGCACCTTACCCCGCCACCTCCAATAAAGGGACATCAAACCAAGCCTAAACCGCTCCTCTGGTGCCGTTCCTAACCAGCTTAGACCAGCCTCTGTAAAAAGGGTTTGACAGCAGCCAGTCCCAGTGTCTTCTCCCCAGGTGTTGATATCAGCTGGGCTGCTGAGAGGACAGTCCTGGGGAAAACTGGCCCAGTGAGATGGTGATACCTGGACATGCCTTTTCTTAGCTGAGCTAGTTAGGGATTAGGCATGTGAATGGGTAGTCAGTTAACTGGTAAGTATCACCCTAGCTGGCCTATACTTACTGGGAAGCGATTAACTGATAACCAGGAGCAGCTCTGTGGGGTTTGGAAGCTGGCCTCTCCCACGCAGGGGGGCTGGGAGCAGGATCAGGCCTCCTCGCACACAGGGATGCACGAGAGAGAAGGTGAGAGTGTGTGCACGAGAGAGAAGGTGAACGTGTATGTGCACAAGAGAGGTGAGTGTGTGTGTGCATGAGAGAGGTGAGTGTGCACACACAAGAGAGAGGTGAGTGTGTGTGCATGAGAGATGAGTGTGTGCGCACGAGAGAGGTGTGTATCCACGAAAGAGAGGTGTGTGTGTGCACACGTAAGAGAGAAGGTGAATGTGTGTGCGTGCGTGTGAGAGGTGTGTGTGTGTGCGAGAGGTGAGTGCATGTGTGCGAGAGGCGAGTACGTGCACACAAGAGAGAGGTGTGCACGCACGAGAGGTGAGTGTGCGCCCATGAAATAGGTGTGTGTGCAAGAGTGAGAGCGTGCACGTGTGTTTGTGTTTGACAGAGAGGCAGGGAGAGAAGAGCGAATCAGGATGTCTGTAACTGGCAGCTGTGTCTGGACACATAACAGTGAAGTTACATGGCCCTCGTGCCGGGTCCTGCCGGCCGTAGGAGGCAGGAATGATGGTCCCAGTCCTGAGGAGAGGAGGAGCATGTGCCCATCAGCCTGGAGCAGCAGAGACGGGATCCACGGCCCTGGTCCTGGCCTGCTGGCTGGGCAATGGCCGTCGCGGGGCTTCTGCTGAAGGCGGAGTGTGGGGAAAACGGCCATTTGGCTGGAACCAGGCAGCAGCCGTGGGCGAGGGGCTGAGACGGTCACATGTCGAAATCCACTGGCTGGGAGGGGGAGGGTGGGGGCGATTCCCCCGACACCGAAGGGGCAGACAGCCAGGGAAGGCCTGTGTTCCGGGCTCAGTGGTCACTGCCTCCCCATGCTTGCCCAGGAGCAGACGCTGCCCAGGGAGGGCGTGCAGCCCTGCTGTGCGTGCCCATGACCCCACCATGGGGTGGAGGGTTCAAATCCCTGTGTTACCTCTCCACACCCATCCCAGGAGCAGCTGGGCCGTCACCACCCGCTTCCCCGGGGCTGGAGCTGGCATGTGCTGAAGGGATGCTAAGGCACCCGCTACAGGTAAGGAGATGGGGTGAGTCCTGCTGTGGCCCTAACGTAGGAGGCGTCAGTCTCTGGAACCCGGGGCTGAGGGTAGCTGGATAACCACCGCCAGTGTGCACAGGGCACCTGCTGAAGGTAGAGGGGTGGGGCCTGGGCCAGGCCCGCCCCTCCCAAAGGTAACTGCATCAGCCTCTGGCGCATGGGGCTGAGGGTCGGAGTCCGCTGCCCACTCCAGGGATCAGCCTGTAGCCAGCTCGCACAGGGCTGGAGCTAGGACCTGCTGAAGGGATGGAGTTGGGGCAGCTCCTCCCATGGCTCGGGCTTCAGCCTCCCCTATGACTGGGGGGAGGCCCCTGCAGCTGCCTCAGCCAGCCCTTTAGAAAAGCAGAGTCCCCAGAGGGCAGGGTGCACCCCCCTGCCTTAAGGGGGCACAGAAAAGCCCCGCCCGGCGCGCAGCGGGGAGCGATGGTCAATTCCGTTTCATTTTAATTCAAGGTGCCTGGACTTTGGGAAGGACCCAGGGAGACACGTTGGGCTCCTGCGGCCCCCTGCCCTAGACGCCTAGGTCAATAGCAGCAGCGCGGTGACCCGGCCCCCTCTCGTAGGGGCTGCGCTGGAACTCCAGGGAGTTCAGCCTGCTGCTTGCTGGGCTCCCCTATCTATGGGGCGGCCAGGGGCTATAAGGGACCCCAGTCCATAGGGGCGGCCAGGGGCCATAGGGGCTGGGCTCCCCTATCTATGGGGCGGCCAGGGGCTATAAGGGACCCCAGTCCATAGGGGCGGCCAGGGGCCATAGGGGCTGGGCTCCCCTATCTATGGGGCGGCCAGGGGCTATAAGGGACCCCAGTCCATAGGGGCGGCCAGGGGCCATAGGGGCTGGGCTCCCCTATCTATGGGGCGGCCAGGGGCTATAAGGGACCCCAGTCCATAGGGGCGGCCAGGGGCCATAGGGGCTGGGCTCCCCTATCTATGGGGCGGCCAGGGGCTATAAGGGACCCCAGTCCATAGGGGCGGCCAGGGGCCATAGGGGCTGGGCTCCCCTATCTATGGGGCGGCCAGGGGCTATAAGGGACCCCAGTCCATAGGGGCGGCCAGGGGCCATAGGGGCTGGGCTCCCCTATCTATGGGGCGGCCAGGGGCTATAAGGGACCCCAGTCCATAGGGGCGGCCAGGGGCCATAGGGGCTGGGCTCCCCTATCTATGGGGCGGCCAGGGGCTATAAGGGACCCCAGTCCATAGGGGCGGCCAGGGGCCATAGGGGCTGGGCTCCCCTATCTATGGGGCGGCCAGGGGCTATAAGGGACCCCAGTCCATAGGGGCGGCCAGGGGCCATAGGGGCTGGGCTCCCCTATCTATGGGGCGGCCAGGGGCTATAAGGGACCCCAGTCCATAGGGGCGGCCAGGGGCCATAGGGGCTGGGCTCCCCTATCTATGGGGCGGCCAGGGGCTATAAGGGACCCCAGTCCATAGGGGCGGCCAGGGGCCATAGGGGCTGGGCTCCCCTATCTATGGGGCGGCCAGGGGCTATAGGGGACCCCAGTCCATAGGGGGGGCCATGGGGGGCCGGGCTCCCCTATCTATGGGGCAGCCAGGGGCTATAGGGGCCGGGGTCCCCTATCTATGGGGCGGCCAGGGGCTATAAGGGACCCCAGTCCATAGGGGCGGCCAGGGGCCATAGGGGCCGGGCTCCCCTATCTATGGGGCAGCCAGGGGCTATAGGGGCCGGGGTCCCCTATCTATGGGGCGGCCAGGGGCTATAAGGGACCCCAGTCCATAGGGGCGGCCAGGGGCCATAGGGGCCGGGCTCCCCTATCTATGGGGCAGCCAGGGGCTATAGGGGCCGGGGTCCCCTATCTATGGGGCGGCCAGGGGCTATAAGGGACCCCAGTCCATAGGGGCGGCCAGGGGCCATAGGGGCCGGGCTCCCCTATCTATGGGGCAGCCAGGGGCTATAGGGGCCGGGGTCCCCTATCTATGGGGCGGCCAGGGGCTATAAGGGACCCCAGTCCATAGGGGCGGCCAGGGGCCATAGGGGCCGGGCTCCCCTATCTATGGGGCAGCCAGGGGCTATAGGGGCCGGGGTCCCCTATCTATGGGGCGGCCAGGGGCTATAAGGGACCCCAGTCCATAGGGGCGGCCAGGGGCCATAGGGGCCGGGCTCCCCTATCTATGGGGCAGCCAGGGGCTATAGGGGCCGGGGTCCCCTATCTATGGGGCGGCCAGGGGCTATAAGGGACCCCAGTCCATAGGGGCGGCCAGGGGCCATAGGGGCTGGGCTCCCCTATCTATGGGGCGGCCAGGGGCTATAGGGGACCCCAGTCCATAGGGGCAGCCAGGGGCTATAGGGGACCCCAGTCCATAGGGGCAGCCAGGGGCTATAGGGGACCCCAGTCCATAGGAGCAGCCAGGGGCTATAGGGGCCGGGCTCCCCTATCTATGGGGTGGCCAGGGGCTATAGGGGACCCCCATCCATAGGGGTGGCCAGCTGCTCTCAACCTCCATATGTCCACGTTAACCCCCCTTCTCCCCCGTAGCACCGCCCGGTACGACTGGCCTGCTTTGCAGAATTGGCTGGCGCCATTTGTGCAGCTACCCTGGGCTCTGACTGTCCCTAGGGGACCCCCGTCCATAGGGGCTGGGCTCTCTCATCCACAGGGTGGCCATTGGCCGGGGTCTGGGTTCCTGGGGCTTGGAGGCAGCAGGACTCCCTTTGCCAGCCCCAATCCTGATCACGCCAGGGCTGTGATCCGCCCTGCCTGGGGGCTGGATGTGAGCTCCCCTGCCCCCCCGGGGGCTTCACAGAGCCCCCCAAGGGCTCCCCATCTCCTGCCTGCGCCCGTCACTCCGGACTGGATTCTGCCCGGGTGCCAGCCTGTCCCCACGTCACAGGAGTCCCTAGCAGAGCCCCCGGGTCCCCAGTGGGTGCATGGCAGGGGCAGGGATCTCCCAGCCTGACGGGACCCACGAGCGGGGCCCACTCTTGTTAGCTGAGACTGGGTTGGTGAGAGGTGGGTGTGAACCAGGGCTTAGCGCAGGCCCCTGTCCTGAGCCGTGTGTGTGTGTGTGAGAGAGAGAGAGAGAGAGAGAGAGAGAGAGAGGCCCTGTATTGCTTGTAGCTAACTGGGATTCACTGTAGTTTGTGTGGCAGGGGCATGCAATTTTGCAGCAGGGTCTCCGAAGTTTCATCCCTGCCGTGAAATCCGTAGTAACGTCATGACCCGGGGGAGGTGACGGTCGTTTGGCTAAGTGGTGGAGGTGGCCTGGTGGGCTGTATTGTAAACCACCCTTGGAGGGGATCTTCTGTGACCTTGAGCCCCGCAGCAGGGTCTGAGCTTAACAGCCCCCCGGAGTTAACCCCTCGTTTCCCGATCCCTCTCCCCAGGCATCTACGTCTGTTCCAAATGCGGGTACGAGCTGTTCTCCAGCGGAGCGAAATACCAGCACTCGTCTCCGTGGCCGGCGTTCACGGAAACCCTGCACGCCGACAGCGTGGCCAAGTACGAAGAGCGGCCGGGCGCCCTGAAGGTACTGACGAAAACCTCGAGAATAAAGTGGCCACGTCGCCGCTTTTCCCCGACTGGGCTCTGTTCCAAGAGTGGCAGCAGAAAGGGAGCCCCGGCTTGGCCCCGATTCATGCGCTTTCCTGCCTTGCGTCTTCTAGGTGTCCTGCATGAGTTCCTCAATGACGGGCCGAAGAGGGGGCAGTCCCGCTTCTGAATATTCAGCAGCTCTCTGAAGTTCATCGCGAAAGGTGCAGGCTGCGCGCTCGCGGTCCCTCTGGCCGGGATCCGCCCGGTTTGGTTTAGGGCTGTACAGGCAGTCCCCGGGTTACGTACAAGATAGGGACTGTAGGTTTGTTCTTAAGTTGAATCTGTATGTAAGTCGGAACTGGCATCCAGATTCAGCAGCTGCTGAAACTGATCAGTTTCAACAGCGGCTGAATCTGGACACCAGTTCTGACTTACATACAGATTCAACTTAAGAACCCCAGGCGTCCCCAAGTCAGCTGCTGCTGAAACTGATCAGCAGCTGATTCCAGGAAGCCCGGGGCAGAGCAACT